TGGCTTGTTGCTGAAAAAAAGAGGAACTCTCTTCCCGTCTGTCTGTTAAACGGATTTAAATGCTTCCCACGGCATGATGCTAGCACCGCCATGTCTCACATTGGGAAGTTTTAGTATGGGTAGTGTGGAGCTAGTTCTAAGTTATGCAACCTTTTGTTTGCATTTTGACCGTCTTCTGCGCGTTGTTCTGCGTGTTGGCTGCGAGGCCTGTGGATCTCTGCAGCTCATCCAGAGATGTGGGCCTCTTGGCTGCTGCTCTGATTAATGTTCTCCTGTCAGTCCAGGTGGATGTCCACGTCTGTTCTCTCTCCATGTCCAGATGATGAATGATCAGAGCACTAGGATGTTGAAGAACCACCTAATCCTGCTTTAAACTTAACCCCTGACCTGCTGCTGGGTTCTTTGGTCTCCACTGTAATGGTTGTTGTCTAAAGAACCTCTGAGGCCTTTATAAAACACAGTATTTTCTACTTGGATGGAACCTGTTTACAACTTGGGTGACTTCTCATGGACTTTATTTAGAGGCAACAGAGTAAATGGGGCAGAATATATACAAATATATATAGAAATTAGGACAGTCAATGTTAACGGATGCAATTAATCGGAACATTTTAATGCTTTAATATTACATAACGCAGATTATTCAGACTGCCTATTTTGACCTAAACGCCTCGAGTGGTTACCTAGTTCACAGCATCGTGCGGGAGTGACGAGCGACTGCCGCCTCATCGCACACGGTCCATAGGAAGTAAATGAAGAGGGAGCTTTCTAAATTAATGTATAAAATAGAACGACTTCATTTAAACCTTCCTGAATATAAAAACATGGAAAACTGCCATTTTGCTCGGTTTGAGACAATAAAACTTTTTTTTTTTTTGACAACGTGCATACAGTGGCAGTTTTTGATGTGGAATTTATGGGCAGTTGCCCAGGGCGGTATCAGAAAGGAGTGAGGCGTCCAAAAACTAGAAAAGAAAAGACATCTTATCTGTCAGTTGTCCCCTGAACAAGTTGTGTGTAGTGCTGTTGAGTACCGGGAGACTACATTACCCGTCTACTGCTACTGCAAAAAAGAAAAATATCCTGCATATTTATATTTCAAGCCTGCAAAATTAGAAAAATTAGTCCGATTACATTTTTTTTTTAAATCGATCACAAATATAAATGCAACACAATTTTGTTGAATTGAAGAATCTTTTTCTTCCCACTCAACACTGGCTGTAGTCTGTCTCATAAAATCCCAATAAAACACACATTGAAGTTTCTGGTTTTAAACTGATAAAAACATGAGACAATCTGGTTGGTATTGATTATAATCTTTGAAGGTTACAGCTGGTGATACAAAATGACTTGCTGCAGAAAGAATTTTGGAAGAAAATGATCTACTGAGGTAAAACGTGACCTCCTGAATATTTAGCCATCTGTGACTGAACTACGTCGTCGGCTCAAGATTGTTCCTGGTTGGTTTGATTTCAACCAGAGATGATTTGAGCCGAGTGGTAGCGTCACTGGCAGGGCTCGTGCCGCGTGCCCACTCCGCCACAGCGGAGTAGCTATGGCTGTTATGGAGCAAGCACACACCGGCCTCACTCTGACACCATTCTGACAATCCATGAACCATTGGCCTGGTGGCAATGGATGAACCTCTCCACATGTAGATGGGTTGGACAGAGATGGATTGAGAACTCTGAAGTTGTTGGGAAGCTGGAGGCTCATAGCTGAATGTTTGGAAGAGGGGCGGGGCGAAGCGGTCAGAGCATGGGGGGGTGCTGTATGCAGATGCAAAAAAAAACCAAAAAACAATATTTACATGCACACTTCTAAAGATGTAGTTGTAGGGAGCATATTCACCATATTATGTACTGGCTTGTTTTCACTTCTTACAGCTATAGGCTGGTATTCTGCCTGTCCTGTCAGCAGACTAATGGTATGCTGGTTGGCCCTCTGCCTTGGAAGAAAAGCGGAAGAGAGACTTGGCAAAGAGTGTCAAGGAGCATCGGGGTGAGGGGTGACTGAGGAGGAAGAGGAGAAGGAGGAGGAAGAGGAGGAGGAGGAAGGAAGGGCAGATCTAAAGAGATTCAGATACACACATGTAACTAGAAAAGGTTCCGTCTAAACGGACAGAAGTTCCTTCAGCAAGAAAAAGCCACTTAAACTGGTGAGCCTGGTGGGAACAGCTCATGACGTCTAAAACATTTAACAACAAAAGCTCAAAACATCTGCAGCTCCCATCACTGAGGTGTGGAGGACTTGCCTTCTTTTTCTGTGGGGGGTTGCTGGTGTGAGGCGAAGTGCTCCTGTCTGGGTAGGCCGCTCCGTAATGGCTCTCCCCAAAAGGAGACAGCGAGCCGGAGCCCACGTCTCCGACCAGGCCCTGTCCACTGAGCGAACTGTGGAAGGAATCTGCGGGAGAGAAAGCTCCGTCCACCTGGGAATGGTGGCGCTCCGAGCTCAGGGGATTCCCCAGGTTTGCGTTGAGGGGGGAGCAGGTGTAAATGAGGTTGAACTCTGTCCTGAAGGCCTTCTCCCTACTTTTGGAGTCCGAGGAAGAGCATGATGGCAGGTTCAGGGAGACGCCGCCCGCGGATGACTGGCCTTGGGAGTCTTGGCCTGAAGCGGCCCCAGGAAAGTCATCAGAGGTCACGGCCCTGGGGCTCTCCAGGCTGGACGGGAGGGACAGGTCCAGAAACGGAGGTCGAGAAGCGTCAAAGTCGACCTGAAGAGACGGCTGAGGATGAGACGAGGCGTAGGGGAGACGAAGAGAAGATGAAGAGGAGACATAGAGGAGAACGGTGATTAAAAGATGAAGAACTGAATCAGCTGTTTTGTTTGGCGTAAAGAAATGTGAACATACTTCTGGAGAGATGGACTCTGGGCGGTGTACAGGCGATGCCTCAGAGGACGATATGTCCTACAGTCAAAGAGAAAGGCTACATTAAAACAGGATCCAACAAAACTCTTCAGCATTCCTGCTCATTCTGGATGAGATGTTAATTTAATGTAAGCACAACACACTGATCTGCATCCCAAGGACACCCAGTGATGCATTGACAAATCCTCCTAGTAAAAACTGTTACTGCAGATTTATATGGCTCTAGTTTGTATGAAGTTACTGTAACCGTCACAGGAGAGACACAAAGAGGCTCAGATGAATTGTTCGCTACAAGATGGCCGACGAGCCTTGGAAGACGCTCCGGGCTGTTGGGACTCTTACTTCAAACTGAAGCGGTGTGTTGCAGCGGCTTGTGGGTTGCGAGGGCATCGGGGAGTAGACCAGGCCATTGGGCAGCACAGAGCCACACGGTGGGTGGAGCGAGTCTTCAGGAAGCGGCGGCGTGATCGGTGAAAGCGGGCGAAGCAGGTGGTCCGAGGACGCTGCCGTGGTCTCAGCTGCGTACTTGTGATGCCGCTTTTTAAACGGTGCACTGACATCTGATTTAAAGAAACAGGATGACATACACACACGGTTCATGTTCATAGCTCCAGAAGAAGAAGTGGGTGTGGGAGTCAAGAGGCGGCTGTGACCTACCACTGCAGAGCGGGTTGGGGGTGGAGCGGCTGCTGGTGCTCTGCTGGGAGGAGGTGGACTCCGTTCCGTCCTCCACGCTGTTGGAACAGCTTTCATCCTCCACCTGTTTGATCCATCTCTGCAAGGCGACAACACCGCGCACATGTCAACTTCTAGTTTTACAAATATGAAGCGGAACAGAGACTGATCCAGAGGGAATGGTGTGTGTGATGTGATCAGCTATGGATTTAAACAAAGGGGCGAGGAGAAGAAGGCCAGAGGCAGGTACATGAACTCAATACAGGCTAATGATCACTTTCTAAAGCCACTGTGATAAACTGGAAACATAAAAAAGGAAAAACAATGATTTTAGACATTTCAAATTTTCAAAGGTTCATCACCACACAACCAATTTCAGGCCCGATCTCTAGTTTCCAGCTGTAATAACTGAAGCTAAGCAGCCTGTAGGTGAGCTCCCTGCACTGCTAGCCGTATGTTTATAGGATTGTCTGACCTTTTTGTAGCAGCCATAGGTGCCGTCCATCTGCAGCGGGCGGGGTCGGCGCCTCTCGGGGGTGAACGGGGAGCCGAATCGGACGTAGTGTCTGGGGGCTGTGCAGATGAGTGATGAGTGGGACAGGCCCGGTAGCATGTTGAGAGTGGTGGCCAACACTGTGGGGTCTGTGGTTATCCGCAGGGGCCGCTCAACAGGCACCTCCTGCTGGAGCTTCTCCCCTCCAGGGACTTTGTCGTTCAACCACTCCGTGACGAGGTACTGATGAGAGACAAATGACTGCTTAGCTGATCAGGCAGGGAAGAACTCAAATGCTGTGACAGAGAGGTCTGAGTGGTTCTGATAAGCGTCATGCTAGCGTAGCCTCACCTTCTTTGTCTTGGGATAGCGCACACTGCCTTTGTGTATGCTGTTGGGTCCCTGGGCGTCTCCGTCCAGGAGATGAGCTCCCTGACCGCCGTCTCCATGGCCGTGTTCGGCCCCGTGTTGGCACTGAGACCCTTCATCGTGCAGAGCGGCCCCCTGGTCGGCCACCGCCTGCGCTGAGGACATCGCTGCTGCCGCAGCGGCCGCTGCCGCCTGCTGCTGAGCCAGGGCCTGGCGCTGGCGCCGAGCGCGCTGCGACGAGCTCGAGCGGTAGCGAGAAATCCGGCTCTTGGGCCGGGGCTTGGCGGGCCTGGTGGGTTTGGGAGGAGCGGGCGGGGCGGGGAGGGTGGCTGCTGGTGGCTTGTCCTCACCAGGAGGGTTCTCCTGTAAGGGATGGTGGAAAGACAACATGTTGAACCTGTCGCCATGACGATTGCGCCTGACAGGATTCAAACACAGGCTGCTTCTTTGGTCTCACCGTGAAGTAGGTGGTCCGGCGTGTGCTGACTCCCACTCCAGAGCTGTGCGGGACAGAAGGCATCTCCGGAGCGTTTCCAGTCCTGTCCTCATTGTCCCCCGCCTCGTCCTTCACTTCAGCTCCCGTCGCTCTTCGCCTGGTTGGAGCCTTCAGGCAGAGAGAAGCAGCATTCAGAATCAAGCAATCCAGCTTCTGGCCTGGCTAAGCGATGCTTGTTTAGGTAACAGTGACAGTAAAGATGGATTAAGCTAGTTTAATAGTTGACGCAGTGAACTGGGCGCAAGAGGTCCGCACCAATTACGTCGTTCCTTCAAATGCCCTTTGGCATCACGCCATTATTTCCAAATTATGATGCCTGCACCTCTAAATTTTGGTGACTTAAAAAAATAAATAAATAAATACATTGGGCCTCTAGGGGGCTGCTCCCATCACCGGGTTTAGAAGGTTTTCTGGGGGAAATATGCAGATGAAGCAGAAATGTTGGGAAAACAGATGAAAATCTCGTACTCTTTTACTACAGCCGATCCCATTTTCATCCACTTCTCCGTCTTCTGGTTTGACCTCAGTCAGCGTTTTCTCCTACGGCAACACATTAACACACATCAACACATTTACTCCCTGACACTTCAGCTTCACTTGGTGATCCAGACGAAGAGCCGGAGCTAAAAGCCCACCTCGGTGTCGCTGACTCCCTGCAGGTCTCTGCCCTCTGGCTGCTGGTCTGGGGTCAGCGTGCCGTTGCTGGCCAGGCAGCTCTCCAGCTCCTTCCTCTGGGCTTTCCTGCGCCGCGTCTCCGTGCCAACAGCAGGAGAGGGAAGGGCGAGAGCTGTAGGGTTCAGGAAGCTCTCCATGGGGCTCAGGTTGTGCTTCTGCACAGGGCAGTTCTGGTTGCCTTTATGGCAGGCGCAGTCCACCTTATAGTTACTGCAGGGTGATCAGGAGAGCGGGTTACAAACGCCCAGCCGCGACCGTGGCGACCGCCGACGAGCACGACTCACCAGCTGCTGAACTCGTAGTCAAAGCCAATGGTGACCTCGGCGTCCTTAGCGATCTGGCTGACGGCGTAGATGCACAGGTGGATCATCCCCTCGGCGATCATGTGTCGGACCTTGGAGGGAGAGGAAACCCATTCTTGCTTTTGAATAAAAGGTTTAATATATAAAAAAAACAAAAAACAAAACAAAACATGGGAAAAGGCTGACCTCAGCGTTCGGGGTGCAGGACCTCCTGATGAAGCGCGCGTCGTTTCCGAACGTCCTGGCGTCAACACACATCTCCACGTCGTTGAATTTGGAGTAGAACAAGACGAAGGGGTAAGGCCTGGAGGACGACAAGGGTCAGTGAGAGCAGAACGCGCCGCGGCGGAGAACGGCTGCGACCGGCTGGCGACGGCTCACTTTTTAAAGAAATGCCCGTTGACTTCAAACTGCTGCCGGAGCATGACCTTCCCCCGGTACTCGATGATGAGCGTGTCTGCCTCCAGGTTCCTGGCCGCGCGCAGGATCTTCCTGTGTTTCTGGACCCGGGTGACCCGCCCCAGCTGGAGCTGCAACACAAAATGGAGCAGAGCTGCAGCATTTTCGCCAAACTCTCGCGTGCCCCCATTCTTCCGTCCAGCAGGGGGCACGTGAGCGGGGCGTGAGCGGACCTGCATCTGGGAGCCCAGCACTGTGTTGTTGCAGGCCAGCTCCGTGCGGTTGATGGTGTCCAGGCCATTTACGCACGGCTGCGTCTGCGTGTCGGAGGGCGGCGTGGAGGCGCCGCTCTCGGCCTTGGAGACGGAGGCGCAGGCGGAGCGGTGCAGCTCCAGCAGCGTCTGGATGTCGGCGCTGTACTGGTTGGAGAGGGCCTCCTCATACTGGTCCGTCCACTGGCGGATGCGGCTCTCCCAGCCCTCGGCCGTGTTCTCGTCCAGCACGCTGGCCTCGGATGTGGAGTTCTGCGCGAGAGCAAACAGGAGAGGGGGGGGGGACGTGAGCAGGAGCTTCCAGCTGCGCAGGAGGGATAAGCGGGACGTGTGGGATGGATGCAACACTCACCTTCATCCTCATGGATTTCCTGGAACCCTGTCTGAAAGCCTGGAGACGAGAAGCCGAGGCGACAACAGTTAGAAACAGCAGAAACAAACCAGCTTCCAACGCTGCCCTGATGAAACCAGCTGACTAGATTTTATTTATGACTTCAAGCGATGGACCAACAGAGTCGTTAATTGCAAAAAAAAAATCAATAAAAGTCTGAAAAGGGTGGTGTGCCCTTGTTTTCAGTCCCCTATACCAGAGGTTCCTCAACTTTTCCAGACAATGCTACAAAATATACATGTATGTAGCCTTTATTTATTTATTTATTTATTGTCATGTTTTCATATTTTTTTGCTTTATTTGTATGATTTTGCTGTATTGTTTTACGTGATGTATTAAACACGATACATCATGTCTTTAATACTTCTTAGATATGCCGTCTAAAAAACAGCTGCTGTCCGGTGACGGAATGCGGGCAGGAGGATCCGCTGTGACCTCGTCTCGATCTCGTTGCTGCTGCAGCTCTCACACACACCCACACACACACACCTTGACTTTCTTTGGCTTGGGCGTTCCGCGGCCTCGCTCAGTGCTTTTCTTCCTTTTCTTGGATTTGCTCCTCTTGACCCGGTTGACGGTCAGTTTGATGCTGGTGGGGGTGTGCTGGGTGGCCGTGTAGGAGACGGTGGAGGGAGAAACCTCTTCATCACCACTTTCTGTCGCACTGCTCTCTCCAGCTGAAAAAAAAAAAATTACTTTTTTTTGCACACGTTTGAAAATGTTTTGAATACCGCCAACAATAAAACTTTATTTGAAGGGATGTGAATAAGACTGACATGACAGCTGTCATAAACATGAAGGAGTCTTCATGAAGGTTTGATTGTTTTCATCATGTCTCATTCAGTAAATAATGACACTTTTAATGCAACTTTGCTTCAAAAGTGTCGTCATTCAAAGAAAAATCCAAAGTTGACCCTTTTAATGCAACTTTACTTACCAAATGACACTTCTTGACAACAATAATAAACATTCATCAACATCCCTTCATGTTTATAACAGTGTTATGTCACATTCCTGTCAGGGTGATGTCAGTCTTATGCACACCCCTTTACATAAAGGGTTGTTACCAGGGCGACCACTCGAAGTGTACCTGAAACATTCTCTTGCTTTCTGTGGGCGCCCTCTACTCCTTTCCTCCTGTCCAGCTCCCTGCAAAGACAGTGGGTCAGCACGGGGCGAAAGCTTTTTGGGCAAAACGTGCGGCTGTGTCTGGGCCTGAGCCGGCTGGTTCCGGCAGCCAGACTGGGCGCTAACCTGCAGGTGCATTTGAGGTGCACGCCGTCTGGCGTGGGGCTGCAGCGGCACCAGCTGCTCACGGCCGCGTCCTCCTCAGAGGAGCTGTCGCTGTCGGCGGAGTGCTCGGCCTGGGGTTCGTGGTAATGGGAGCTGCGGACCATGCCGTTGAGGTCCATGCGGGGAATGATGGTTTGGGAAAGCGGAGAGGCGGGTGGGGTAGGGGGAGGGGGCGCGCCATAGTTGTGATCCTGACAACATACAACGGAAGACTGTTGCATCTTCAAACAACGGGGTGTTCAGGCAACAAAAAAAAAAAGGGAAACGGAAAATGGAGACAAATGAAAATGAGGGCAAAATACCAGGTATGTGAAACAGTAACAGCTGTTAATAACAGAAGCGGTCTGCGGGTTCGGCAGGCTAACAGCAGGAAGGACTATTTCACTTCGAGTTGATGCATTAGCGGCCTACAGTTTCACTCTGACAACAGCATCTTAACAGACCAAGTAAACGGGAAAAAAAGATTAGGAAAAAATAGAAAGGCTGAGACAGAATCCATTAGTTCTTATTTACAATCTAAAAACATCACAATCGCAGCCTTCTCATTAAGAAAGAGTAATACAATAAACTACAAGACGTGCTACAATCAAAGCTGTAGATGAGGAAGAAGCTGTCTGAACTCACAGCATATGGGAGTCCCCGATACCCATGATTCTGTGCACTACCACAGCTGTGGTTGTTGTAGTTCTTCTCATTCACTGCAGGGCTTGCTTCAACTGACTCAGGGCTGAAAACACAAACAAACTTCATCAGGTAAAACAAGTCAACGCGCGCACACACACACACACACACACACACACACACACACACACACACACACAATCTAACATGGAATTTCATGGCTGGCTTTCCCACAGCTGATTAGTGGTGGGCCGTCGCCACTAGATGGCACCAGAGCTCCTCTTCACTCCGACTCTGCAGCAAGTCTACATGTTGAAGGAAACCAGATGAAAGAGTGTTGCATCAAATCCCAGCAGAGAGGAGATAAGTCGCCATGGTAACCAGAGATAAGGAGGGGGCTGAGCCCAGGCCGGAACCAGTCTGGAACTGGGTCAAGAACTGGTCAGAACCGGGTCAGGAACCAGGCTAAAACCAGCCTGGCACCAGTCTGTTAATAGAACTCACTCTATTCACTGTCCATTAAGAATTGGCAAAAATAAGTGAACATTTTCTTATTAGGATTTTGATTTATTCCAGAACCAAACATGGAGACGCAGCTTTCAGCTTCTAGGCACCACAAATCTGGAACAAACTTCCAGAAAACTGCAAAGCAGCTGAAACACTGAGTTCCTTTAAATTAAGGCCAAAATTTGTCTAGAGTTGCTTTTGAACCATAATAAATGGAACACTGACCATCATATTTGATTTGTATCGACGGTCTTTATGATGCTACTGGTTTCTCAATCGGTGACCGTATCTATGTTTTAATGGTGTTAAATAAAAAATAAAAAAATAAAAAGTTATTTTTCTTATTTTGTGTGTTATTTGCATCAATAAATGTCAGTCAGTCAGATTCTAATTAAATCCAGTTACAGTGTGCGGCTTAGTCAAAGAAATGTTTTCAGTATGCGGTTCCTGAAGAAGCTTGCTTCAATCAGGAAGGTTTTTCAAGAGAAGAGTGGTGATGTGAATGCTGTGCCATGCATTCATAATCATAAATTTATCCAGAGAAGTAGTTAATAAACAGGTTTCATCATGATTTTTACCATTACCACAATAGTACCGCAAAACGTTGGAATAAAATATTTCAAATGAGGCTTCTATTCTAATCTATGATGTTGGTTTATCACACTTCAGTGTTTCAGAAAGTCAATTTAAGTATTTGTCAAAAATAACACAAGTAAACAAAGAAAAATGCAGTTTTTAAATGAAGATGTTTGTTATTAAGGGAGATAAATAATCCATACCTACCTAGGCCCTGTGTGAGGAAGTGATCGCCGTCCCGGTTATTCTAGAGACAAAAGGTTTGGATTTGGCCATCAAACCTGACGGCACCGAACACACGCCCTACTGGACTCTGCTAGCTTCCACCCTCTTCAGTGTGAACGCCAGCACTGAGTAAAGGAGCCTCAACAAACATCAGTGAGGTGTTTAAAGATGAGGTCAGACTAAGAACACAGGCGTAGGCCTAATTTTAGGAGAACAATCTTTTCTGACATGTTGAGAAATGTCTGTAGTTCTTTTTTGTCTTTGTAAAAGACAACCAGCCGTTTCTCCCTGTGGCGCTGGATTTGTGCATTTATTTGATTCTAGCTTCTCTGATCGGCTTGCATCCAGATATGCAATCGAACCGTACCAGAGTTCACTTCAGCTGAGCCGAGACCGAGGTCTTTAGGCAGATTACAGTTCACGTTTTTGGTTTTATTAGAGTCCGATTCCACATTTACACTTCCCTAAATGAACCGGACCTTCCAGACAAATAAACTATAGTGTTTGATTACAGTGGACTGAACAGGGAATGAACCGTAAAATGTCGAACGTTGTCATTTTTTACTTGTTTTTCAATTAGTAGTGAAAGGCTTTTCTTCAAGCACACTCTCCTCCAATTGGAATTAATTAATGACATTATCACCAGGAAGGCTAGGCATGTTTATGGAACATTTCTTGTTCCATTAACAACACAAAATAACAAAGGTCCAGCTTCCACAGTCAGCACAAAACACATATGAGAGATACTAATGAAAGCGCTTTGACTGGAAAGGAGTTATTATATAAATGTTGTCCATTTACCAGTGAAAAAAATTTTAAAGAGTAACAGACATCAGCCAGTTCCAGTCAGCTGGCATTGACTTACTCTGATCCAGCAGCCATATCTGAGTAAGACGTTTCAGGTGTGGTGACTCCCAGAGTGATTACTATGCTCATGACGTCCAGCACAACGACGCGTGGAAGTGGGGGGACGAGGGGGAAGGAGGGGGCGAGAGGGGGAAGTGGGGAGACAGGATGGGATGGGGGGAAAGGAGGATGAGAAGAGGATTCACAAGGTCCAACTTATAGCAACGGACCACTCCAGAAGGGGGGCGCCGTCGAGCCGCAGCCCACGGCTCACGGTCATGGGGGACCTGAGGATGGAGGGCACAAACGTTTGTTAAAGATTAGCAAACTCAAAATGGCTTCTGGTTCCTGCTGTATGTCTGTGATTATGTCAACAACCAGCTGTGGTTGACATAATCACAGCCACCTATGCATTTCATAGTCTCTTTTCCTGTGAATTAAATGCCTCTATAGTTCATGTTGGGTGTGGTGCTGACCAAATCTTGATTTTTTTATTAAATCTTTTTTTTTTTTACCTTTCACAAAGACATTCAGTGTGCTGCTGTGGCTACCCGTTCTTTATATCGATTAAAACTGTCATCCCAGCCACGGTTACGACACTAAAAGGCATGTGAATGTATTAGATATTCTTCAAAATAGGAGACGAGGTTGGATATAGAACTGACTATGAACAGATGAGGTTTAAAATTTCTAAGGAGGAGTCTACAGCAATTCAGACTTCCAGACATTATGACCATCAAAACCTCAATATTGAAAAAATAGAGTCCTTGTTACCAAAGAAACTAAACCAGATCTAAAAAACTGGATATATTTCAATATGTTAAAAATAAGGCCTACACAGTATTTATTTATTAAACCTGTTGCTGTTAGCCAAAATGCTAGCATCAGCATGTAAACTAACATCAGCATGTTAAGCATTGACAAACAGCGTCTTAGCAGATGTCAGCATGTTAAATTATAAAAATTGTTTTACCATAATAAACAGGTTAACAAAAGTTAAAATGCTATTATTGGACAACAAGCAAAGTTTAAAAGAAATATCTTAAGCTACTAGCAGTGTTGTGGTACTCGAAGTTGGTCTTGGTCTTAAGGCCGGTCTTAAGACCATTTT